TGATGTGAATCATTACTGTATTTCTTGAAAAAAGAATTGTAGTAAAATTGTCAATGTGACAATCCATGCAACGATGTTATTGTTATCATATGTGTTCATTAGTCATTTGTGATAGTGATTGTTGGTCCAATATACAATGGCAAAGCTCTCAGCGTTTTTTTCTGTGGATGGCCAGCAGTGACTCAGAACTTAGAAGCATTAGTTTTCTTCACAGGACTGGGATAAAAAGCACTGAGGGTAATCTTCCACCAAGGAACTTTACTTTGACATGGTATGAGATGCAGGCACAAGTAGGTAGGTGTTTCGTTCCTATAGTCAGTAATTGTGTAGGTTTAGTTGGGTTAGCTTAGATTAGGTTTTAATTTGCCCCCAGTGTCCATAGAAATGTGACCTGAACAGTGCACATACCTGACTAACCCGACAGCTGACCTAACCTCAATAGTCAATCATCACACATATTTGCAACCTAGCCAAGACCTGCATAGCAGTAGCATCCAGTTATAGGTAGGTACTCACCCTAACTCAATCTTACCTGCTAACCTTCAACTTGCCAACAGTTAGCTCACCTTGCCAAGCTGCATCCAGGGAAACAGTCAACTGAGGAACTGGCTCATTGGGTGGCTGGTGTGAGTCTGTGCATTTAAAATGTTTCTTCTCAGAAGCTGCTCTGCACTGGTAAATGTCATGTTAGATGCTCAGAAAAATGTTGGAAATGATAACTAAGCAGAGCTAGGTACTTTAATGCTTTGTTAATGCTTGAGACATGAACAAGTACAAATCCTGCAGGACACAGCTATGAGTTAGGTGCTAGGTGAGTATGTTATGTGAATGTGCTGGTTCCCTGTTTGACTGAAGTAAGTATACAAACAAGCACAGGGTCACAGTTATATTCAATAACCACATAAACACAAAAAAGGCCATATAGCCTCACTCCGAACACACCACAAATCACTTAAGCCTTTGCAGGCACAAAAATGCTTTGAGTTACAGGACAGGTATACAACATATCCTCTGTCCTTGGGGATCTTGCTGCCAAGTTGAGGTACGATGACTGAACTTCAGGATTGATCGATCAACCTTTTCTTCTTAGCCACTGCTTATATAGGAGAAAGACTTAATGCTTGTTTATAAACTGCATTGAAAATTTAATGATCCACCTTCAATTCTGGCATGAAGGCACAAACAAAATAGTTCCCTCTCCTCTTGGAATACACAAAGCAAAATATTTTATAACTTTTAGTGGATGGACAAGAGCAATTAGCATAGCTTTCCCTCAAGTTAACTTCTGGCACTGATGAATTACACTGACACCTCTGATCCAATTAAGATAAACTTGGAATGTGTAAACCTGCCTAGTCAATCATGCAACAGATGAACTTGAGGTCAACATGATATTTTGCGATGGGTTGGTGGTATACATCAACGTTACTTTGCAGTTTGGAACCTGCGATGGTTTTCGGAGGTTTAGCCTTTGTATCGGCACTCCTTTTGCTTATTTGCTTTATATTTTGTAACAAACGCGCAAAAACTGCAATATAACAGCACTATATGCTTTTTGACAAAATGCAACAGAAGTAAATTTTAACCCTGATGGCATTCATTCTTAGTGGAAATGTAATTGCAAAATATTTTGTAGTAACCATTGAATTTCGGCTGAAAACAGTGCACGGTTTAAAAAAGAATCATTCCCATGACGGTCCATTCTTGCGGTCCTGAAATCGCCACTATTTCCGGCCTCTCCAACGCAACTCGTTGTCCAGACGTAAATATGCTGGATATTTACCGTAAAATGATTATTCAGTATCTAAATAGAACTCGTGACGTCATTTCAAATAAGAAATGAGCTATGCGTTCTACCTTCGAGTATAATGAAAATAAATAGAAAATTAAACTGTTAATTCAAAAGCCTGGACTTTTTTCTCAAAAGAATGTTCATTTTTTCTGCCTCACATAATTTTACGATACGATTGTTTGTGAATATCATCTTTGTAGCGTTGAATTTAATGACGTAAACGCAAGACAATCAATTAGTGCTATACGCGAGTGAGCGCCTTGCATCTTTATTTTATTCACTTTTCAAAAGAATCACAATATCTTACGTCATTAGTTTGAAGGGCCTATTACGGGGAATCTTTTGGAATCATTACGGTTTTAGTCAAATTAAGATTTTTCATTGGTCAAACGATAATGACGTAATAAAACTATATTACCAAAACGTGAGCTGTGAATTTCGTTTGTCTTTTTTTGGAGGCTCTCTCATAACGACAGCACAGCATGGCACCACACGTGGCACAATGCCAAAAGTAGGTAATCTGAAGAAGTTGATGCCATTTTTGAACTTGTAATTTTATTAGGAAAGTATTAGAGGTTGGTTGCTATTCTTACTAAATCGAAATTGTGTTGCACATACTAATAGCTCATACGAACATTCTGGATTGGGTTTTCATACCTGGTAGAAGTGGATTGCTGGATTATTTTGAGCAAAACTGACCTATTTGGCTTCCAGGTTTGATTTCCTAACATCTGTCCATAGGCGGCGGAACAGGGGTGGGGGTGGGGGCTGGCACCAGGGTACAGTGCCCCCCATAGATTTTGGCATTTTAACATAAGCCCTACTGGCGTTGCATGGAAAGAATGGGACCAAAATGAAAATCTTCAGTGCCCCGCTGCCACTGCATCTGTCTGTACTGTTTGTTCATTGAACTAAAGTGGCTGTAGCTTGTTGATAAGATTGTCATCAGTGCTGTCATGAAAAAAGTTACAATTGGTCACAAAAAGTAGCAATGTTCATGTTCTTGGTTTATTTTAAATGTAGTACAAATGTTGTTGATTTAAATTCAAATTTAGTGATGATACCTAATTAATTATTACAACTGGTCTTAACCATGTCCACAAGTGACAATTCTCAATTGTATTGCACTGTAAGGTGTACAATTATGTAGGATAAGGGTTTCATTGGCTACATGTTGTCGTGAGATCCATACAGATCATAGGTCCTCCACAAATTTTTGCCCGCTGGATCCACAGAGATCATAGATCCGACCCCTAAATTTTGTCGAGAGATCCATTCAGATCATAGATCCAACCCCTGAATTTTGTCGAGAGATCCATGGGATCATAGATCCAACCCCTCTATTTTGTCGAGAGATCCACTGAGATCATAGATCCAGCTCTCGGATCCATGCACATGTCTGTTTTGGGTAGTATGAAAAAATGCTCTTTCCAACAGAACCCTAGTAAAAAACGTGAATGGACAAAAAATAACTTTTATTTCGACATAAATATTGGCCTGTTTTTAAGTCATCCTGGTATGCCGTAAGATTTCGACCTATAAATTGGTGTTCCCCCAATCATTGAAGCTTGAGCAGTGAAAAATATGAAAGCCTAATCTGTTTTGCATCATTAGTGATTCTCCTAGGGTGTTGCCATTTCTCCCTAGGTGTTGCGAGTTGCTTTTGCAAAACGTGTTCCTGAAACGGCTCAATTTTTTGAGCCCTCAGCATTACGCCTATGGGAGCCTCTGACGTCACACGCTCAATATTTTGAGCGCTCAATAATTTGAGCTTTTCCCCCTTGTGTGTGGGACTGGCTTCGTGTGCTGTCTGCACTAAAGTTGCTGGTTGCGCATCAAAATGCATCGGCCGGGAATCGAACCCGGGCCGCCCGCGTGGCAGGCGAGCATTCTACCACTGAACCACCGATGCTCATAGACGTTGCAGTTGCCGGTTTTTCGGCGCCAGGAACTCGCTTTCCAATACCCACTGTGACGTCCTGCCAGCACGCTGGACGTGACTTACTACGTTTTTCTGTCACGAGTGTCACGACTAGCAGTAACCTTTCCTGCAATGCCCTGTAGCTCATTTCTATGGAAACTTTTCCCCGTTGTGAGGGCGTTTGTTGGTGGTTCAATGGGAGTGTGCTTGCCTGCCACACGGCCGGCCGCCTGTTCGAGTTCCGGGCGATATGTGTTGTTGGGATTGGAATGGTTGAAGGCTGCGAATGCGACGTGACGCACAGGTCCCCTTATTATCCGTTAAAAACGCTGACCATAGGTGGGAAGACACGGTGTATCTGTCCTATTCTGCCAGTGCCATCCAAGCGCTTTGTTCGGCATTGGGGGCCGTGCCAATTTACCTGCTAATAGATGTGGATTGTGGGGCCTACCAGACGACTTTCAAGGGTGGATGCCCCCGACATTGAGAACTTTGTGAGCGACCCGGTAGCTGACTGTCAGCCTACCCATCGTGGTTGTCGGCGCACTACGTTTCCTTTGGCAGTGGTTGTGTGTTTTCCACCTGCGCTGGGGTTGAAAATGGTTTGTGTACTGCAGAGGCATCTGTAGGTACGGATTTGTCAACACTAAGGTCTACACTTATTACTTGTGCTTTCATAATGCCTACCCACTGGCCGTAAGTCGGCGTGGGAGCGGAAGTTTGAGCTTTCCCACACTCGTGGAAGACATCGCTGTCTGTCATCGAGGTTTTAAAAAATACACCGAGTTACTGGTTTGCAGGAAATGCGAAGGTGAAAAGCAAGCGATGCAAGTTGTGTCGCGTACTGCGTTTGATTTATTTGCAAGTGATATTGCAAGCATGGTGCTAGTTTCCTTATTTTAACAGATTTTGCTGAAGTCTTCTCATTCGCAAGCCTCCGTGGCGCAATTGGTTAGCGCGTTCGGCTGTTAACCGAAAGGTTGGTGGTTCGAGCCCACCCGGGGGCGCGGTGCCTTTTACGGTGTGACAGTGTGAAATTAGCACACCCCAAAGTTCTCTCATGCTGCCCTAGTTGTGATTGAGCTGGCAGTGTCTGGCTGTCAACATCAACAAAACCCTGGCAAATCCACCGTCGATTGGCTGAGTAGCTTGGTTTTCTAGCGTTCGCCGACATCCTTCAATGTTTTGTTTATACTGTAGGTATACACACGCGCCGTGAAATGTCTCCAAAGTCAGTGCAAGCCGTCCACACAGCTTTGAAGTCCCGTCTGCTCTGTGTTCCGACAGCCTGCTGCTGCTCAGCGGCCACCTGTCGGAGCTCAATGTCAGCGGTAACCGGCTGACGGAGCTGCCCGAGGCGCTGGGCCAGTGCCGCCGCCTGACCTACCTGAACGCCAGCAGCAACCAGCTGGCCGGCCTGCCCGGCAGCCTGGCCACGCTGCAGCACCTGCGCGAGGTGGCTCTCTCGATGAACAGGTCAGTCCGCCCTCGCCATGGCGGCGCTCTGGAAGGGACTGGTTTTTATGTGATGTAACAGTATGTTGGGGTCTTCGGGGATGCTCCAGCAAGTGGCGGTAAGTGGGGAGTGGCTAAGGTGGTGTTTCACCGGTGATAGCAGCACGCTGCTATTCTGCTGAAGTCACACTTGTGGTAGTGTTGGAGCAATGGGCTTGTTGACGTCTCCATGGGAACCCAATTTGAGACGTGTAGTAGCAGCGTGCTGCTATCACCGGTGAAACACCACTTAAGTGACGGACCAAAATGCATCGGCCGGGAATCGAACCCGGGCCGCCCGCGTGGCAGGCGAGCATTCTACCACTGAACCACCGATGCCTGTGGCGTGGGGTCCAAATCAGTTCTCCGGCCAGTGTCGCCAGGGGCGCTCTGCACAAAATTAGTCTACCACGTGGTAAAAACCTGCTTGTCACTGCCGATCTACCGCTCGTGAGTCCGCAGTCGTGACAGGAAATCTGAGGCACATGACGTCACAAATCCTGTAGCTCCAACTTCTTATCAGCATCGGTGGTTCAGTGGTAGAATGCTCGCCTGCCACGCGGGCGGCCCGGGTTCGATTCCCGGCCGATGCATTTTGATCAGTCGTAAGCATGGATTCCTCGCTTGTAAAGACGTGGCTCAAGAGCTCATTAGCACGTCAGCTTTGTGCTTCCTCTTCGGCTACCATTCACTTCACCCACTTAGCACCTGCTTTTCGCGAGCGCCTGTGAACAGCAGCGGAAGTGTGCGCGCCTTATCACCACCTGCATCAAGCTCATGGATAAGGACACGCTTGCAACGAAGGCAGGCCTTCCTCCACTATCACTCCGTGCCAAGGAGCTGGCAGCCGGCGTGTACACACACATCATCCGCCTGCCTCCGGAGGACCCCGCTCGCCAAGATTACTTCTCGCTCGCGACCGTTTTGATAAGACACCACTACCGAGGCTTCACCACCGCGCCCACGAAACATGGAGGCGCGCGGTAGCGTCTGCCGAAAAGGTGGTACTGCCACCGTCACCGCCGACAGACGAGGACGCGACCTTGCCTTACAAACCATGCCATCTTCGGGTCGGTACTCGGTAGGGGGCTTGCGACGGGGGGAGCGACCTCCCAGTGGAGCCCTCTGGTACTCTACCAGGGTTCACCATCCTGTTATCACTGTGGAGATGCCGCTCGTTTTGTGCTGGACCTGCCGCAACCCACAAGGAGCACGGAACCGCCGGAAAGAAGGCAGAAGGTATTAGCGGCGGGCCTCAACCCCGACCCAAGCTGATCCATCTTGTCAGATGGATCTGCCAGGGAAGGGACCATCCAAGCAACTGGAGCGATCACCGACAGGGACACACAGTCGAGTGCGTGGCCCCGGCCGGTCTAGTGTGCAACAGCACAAGGGCAGAGCTGGTGGCAATGATTGAGGCCTTGCCACAAGATTACTTTACTACTCCTTACAGTGACATACAGTGAGGCATGGCCTTGCCATGTCTCCATGAACTACCGGCCCTCTCCAGCTCACTGGCCAAGAGCATGCTGATCTGCACAGACTTCCGGTCAGGGCTTCAGCTACTAAGCCGCAGCGCGGATGATCAACAGTCGGCCATCTGTCAGCGCGTCTGGGGCCTGCTACTTGCTAGATGCGCTGACAGCCAGCGGGAAGAACGTCACCCTCCACTGCGTCCTAGGCCACTGGCCACGCCGACCTCAACGAGGCAGCTGACCGCCTCCCCAGTCAAGAAGCCGCCAACTGCGCCAAAAAGGAGCCCCCGATCAACCTCTCCAGCGCTGGGATAGCCATCCGCCTCTGGAACTCTGAGCTGGCCTCCGCACGTGCACGGTAACACTCACATCAAGAATCGACTTCGAGTAACGATGACCTGGACATGGGACAGGTGGGACCACCTCACTCTGCTCTTGCTCCGCGCCGGCCACTGCCCGCTGGTGCGAGCCACAGCTCATCAGCACAGCCTAGTAGTTAGACGACCAGACCTGTCGAGCCTGTGTCGAGGAGGACATGGAGCATCTACTGACCAGGCTGCCCGCACACGTGGCGACGAGGATCAGTTTCTGGGCACTGACCGGCCCAGGCGGGAGTGCTCTCGGGACCGGCCCAGCACATCAGCAAGTACTTGTAACGGGTGGGGCGGACCGAGACACCTGTCGATCGGCCCCGTAGCCACGAAAGAGAAGCATCTCTGGCATGTGTGGCCGTTAGGGCATCACCTCGACTCTGTGGCGCTACCGGGTAGCGAAGCTCCAATGGCCGACACGAAGCTGTTGGGCGTCCATCGCTGCTAGTCGGTCCGGCCAGGCCTGGATGCTACGCTATGGGACCGCGCCACTGACAGCGGCTCGATGGGCCGTCTGGAAGTCGAGGGCGCTTGCTTCCTTGGCGATGGACGTGTCTGCTCTCCCGTTGCTTTCCAGAGGCGGCTGCTGCCGGTGCTCAGAAGTAGGAACCTAACCAGTAAATTGGATCGTGTAGCTGATTCCAGGGTTGTCAAAATGCATCGGCCGGGAATCGAACCCGGGCCGCCCGCGTGGCAGGCGAGCATTCTACCACTGAACCACCGATGCATGTTTCCCGGAGGTACTGGTCATTAGCGCTGCGCTGTTCCGCACGAAAACTTCCTGGTCTAGTCGGCGGACAGTAAAAACTTGCTTATCATCGTTGCGTGAGGCGATAGCCGTTAGTATGAGAAGTCGTGACAGGAAATCAGCATTCCTTACCGCTCAAAAATCTGTCGTGCAATGGGTCACCAGCATCGGTGGTTCAGTGGTAGAATGCTCGCCTGCCACGCGGGCGGCCCGGGTTCGATTCCCGGCCGATGCATTTTGACCAGTCGTGAGTGTTCAGGGGAAAGTGTTCGTTCGGTATTCTCTGAAGAGGGGCAATGGGCATGTTAGTGGCAGTTACGACTGTAATATAAATGAAAATCAAATCTTGTGTAATATATTAACTTTTATTAACACAGTTCCGTCGTTTTACAAGTTTCCATGTCAATCCTGGTCATGATGCACTGATAAAATGGCACGTTTGACGCAGTGCAACTCTGGCCGAGCTGCCTTCCGGCACGTTTGACACAGTGCACTTGTGGCCCATCTGCCTTCCACTTGTGCCGTGCCGTCGCAGAGCCGGCATCTCAGTCACGACGACAGCAGTGGCGGTGATGATGACTATGTTGGAGACGCTAGTGGCCTTGTAGCAGGAGCCGACCGTTGGAGCCGCGGCTCCTCGAGCTCCGAGTCTGTGAGGGAGTCCAGTGAGACGCCGCTGTCGCAGTCCACCGGCGAGTCGCCGTCGCTGTCGGCGCTCTGTGGGCCGTGTGACAGCACCTCCTTCTCCCTCGGCGGCGGCGGCGGCTCCGGGACGGGCAGCACGGGCCGCGTCCAGGCCCTCCTCACCCGCCGCACCGCCTCGGCCGTCTGCGCCAGCGTGATCCAACTGAGCGTCAGCTCGCGCAGCACGGGCGCGCTGGCCACCGACAGCCGCGCGCTGGGCAGCAGCCAGCGCGCCAGCAGCCGCTGCAGCCAGTGAATGTCGATCAGCAGTGAGATGAGGCGCGCCTTCTCCGTCAGACCCACGGCCGGCTCCAGGTCCGGTTTGACCAGGTAGCGCAGCAGCGCGGCGGCTCCGAGGTGTGTGAAAAACGACACGCGCAGCGGTACGTACAGCCAGAGCGGCGCCGGCGCCCAGCGGTAGCGGGCCGGCTCGGGCAGCAGCGCTGGCACCAGCACGGCCAGCCGGAGCAGGCCCAGCGCCGCCGAGACGGGCCCGAGGTGACCGGTCAGCAGCAGCAGCAGGCCGGCCAGGCGGCGGCGGCCGGCCGGCGCGGCGGGCACCGGCAGCGGCCGCGCTGCCACGCAGCGCAGCAGGTGGTGGCGGCTGCGGTAGGCGGCCAGCACCAGCGCGCCGCCCAGCGACAGGTGCACGCCCAGCCAGAGGTCGGCCAGCGCTGCCAGCAGCGGCCGGCAGCGCGGCGCCGCCAGCGTGGCCAGCGACGCCGAGGCCGTGGCCGGGTAGGAGAGCACCAGCAGCGCGTTGACGAGCCGCTGTCGGGGCGGGTAGCGGCGCGCGATGTGCAGCACCACACAGCCGGCCGTGTGGCTCACGTAGAGCCAGCAGAGACCGGCGCTGAGCCAGAGAGCGGCCGCCACCGGGCCGAGCGCGGCCACCAGCTGTGCCCCGGTCGGCACCCGCCAGTCGTCACCTTCTGCCGCTGCCGCTGAGACTGGAGTAGGCACCGGGGCCATACCAGCCGGCACTGAATTGCTGGATGTGGTGCCGGAATTCTGTTCGGCTCAAGCAAATCTCGGTGGATGCCCGCAGGGTTGCAGTAGGTCAGGAAATGGAAGATAGGCGGCAGCCACCTTAGCTACCCCGCCTACGGGTGCCGTAAGATGGAGTATTGAGATATCCGTAGAACCTCCTGAGATCGCACTGGGCTTCCAGTACCCTCCACTCGGACTGATAGAGCTCAACGCTGCTCTCGACAAGCACTCGGTCTTCATGTCCGCCTACATGTTGGCAATCGACGACTACAGAGGTGGTCTCCGAGAGGCAGCACCAAAGTTTATCACGTCCGTCAGCTACGCTACGTTGACAAACAAACTCACTCACATTCCGCCACCAACTAGGGTTCCCTAGCTCGGGCGTTCTGCTTCGTGTTGCCACCGTGTTGCGAGCCAGCTGACCTACAGATTACAGAGATGGGTCACGGTCTGCCCATCCATCGTGTTTGCATCACCACTATACGGCGAGCCTCGGCAGACGACAGAGATAAAGCAGCGTTCAGTGATGCAGGCGATCCCGATGGGCGCTGCTCCTGATACCGGGCTTATTTGTTGAAAATGCGCATGACGGATTGGAGTCGTAACATCGCTGCTGCATAAGCCGTATGGATAATCTAGTTCGGGAATGTCTAACGACAGAAAACTGTGCAATTTCAGCAACGCTGCAGCGCTATGCCCGGTCACGGCTCAGCG